GAGCAACATCAAGTGCTGCTCACAGGTACACACACACACACACACACACACACACACACACACACACACACACACACACACACACAGACACAAACACACACAGGTCTGTCCCGCTAGATTCGCCTAAACTTCAAAGAAGACTTGTTCTGAAGGAGGCCTCAGGACAGTCAGTAGGCTTGTTTGAGACAAGCGAGACCTGCGCAGACCTGCGCAATTTCGATCAACGTCTTGCTCGTGCGTTGCATGATGGTTAGTCATTTTGTCCGACTTGCTCTGGAGGCTCGCTCACATGAGACGTTGAAAAATCTCGCGGGACAAAGACGCCCGCAGCCTTGAGAGCGAGGCGCGGCAGTGCAGTTCCTCTCCACGGGCTGCGGAAGCGAAATGCTTGATGGGAAACGACTCGCTGGTATCTCGAGCTGAGCGCTCATTGGTGGTTTTTACCCCGTGCTGCTGATGAAACTCTCCAATTGGCTCGGCAAAAGTTTGTTGTTGTTTGGTGTCAGTTTTACGTCGCCACTTCCATTCACATTTTTCATCATTGTTCCACAATGTTTATCATCATGAAATTAATATATGTTATACTATACTTGCACTGCTTACCGTTTTCATACTTTATATATCTTAGCATATTCATACACACTGTTCATACTGCTCACAGGCTGCTGTGTATATCTAGTGTATTCATACCCTTCACTGTTTATTCATCATTCAATTCATTCTATATTTTATTCTGTAGATTGTGTACATTACTTTTCACTGCTTGTTGCACTCCTGGTTGGAAGCAAAACTGCATTTCGTTGTCTCAGTACCTGTAATATGTGCAATAACAATAAAGTTGAATCTAACCTTGAGCAGGAACAAATGTATTTACTTAGTACATATCTGACATTAACGATTAACGAAAATTAATGTGTGAGGCTGAAAATAGTTTTGTTTGTCTTTAGTGTCAGTCTGACAGTTTATTATTTATTTAATTGTTACGGCCAAAAGAGTGTAGTTCTTGTTTAATTGTTACACTGCCAAAATAGTGTAGTTGTTGTTAATGTGTACACTCACTGCCAAGAGTGTAGTTGTTTTATTTCATATTGCACTACAAGTGCACTACTTATAACTTGATTGTTGAGGCTACAATAAAGATGCCTGTCAAAATGTCTAAACATATCTTTTGTGTTTTATTGTTCCACTACATTTCATAATGACAATTGCTACAATGATGGGGAGTTGTATTTTCTCTTACTGTGCCACAGAACACAAAAACTTGTATTTTTATTGTTATTATTTTAAAGTTAAGTCAATTGTTACTTTTATAATTTAGTAAATAATAAAGTAACTAGTTACTTTTTTGAGAGCAGTAACTATAACTATTAGTAGTTACTTTTTAAAAGTAACTTGCCCAACACTGCTGATAATGCAATAATACAGCAATATCAGCAGTAAATGTATAAAGGATGCATTTTAAATGTACATGTAGCACATATTTGTTTTCTAATTTACTTTAATGGATTTTTACGTTGTTAGTTATAGTTAATTATAATTTTTGGTGAAATTTACTGTTAAAAAAATTCCTTCAATGTTTAGAAAAATAACTAATTTAGAAATGTTTTCCTTTTGGATTTTGCCCCAAAAATTAAACTAATAAACGTCAACATATTATTACTGGATTGAATTTATTAGAAAATATCAGTTATCAGTATTGGCCTTAAAAATCTGCGATCAGACAAGCTCTTAAAAAACAGATTTTTATTGTGTGGAAGTGACATACTGGCAGAAAATAAAGGTGTAAATGATCTATCCAAAAGCAAACATTCCTCTATTATGTCCTTCCCTTTGCAGACAGTCTGAGTGCCACTTTGGCAAAAATTACAAAATCTAGAGAGGGATGAGTCTGTGTAAGCAGTAAACACACACACTTTGTTCCTCATCACTGGGGGGCCAGTGGGATGCCTCTGGCGTCGGTAACCTGGCCCTCCTGCAGGTTCTTCACCAGCTGAGCCAGCCAGCGCTTGGTGGTGGTGTCGTCCTTCAGAACCTGGGCGAAGGTGCTGTCCTTCAGCTGGTCGGGCAGACACTGACGCAGGGCCTCTCTGGCTCTGAGGAACAAACACAGCAGAAAATAATGTACACTTCTGTAAGCAACCGCTTACCGTAAAAAAAAAACAGCTTCTCCACTTGGTGACACCAAAGCGAGAGGCCGTGGTGGAAAGTCACAATTACATTGCCTCAAAAACTGTACTGAAGCATAACTTTGAAGTAAATCATGCTTGAGTTCCTTCCTGTCTGAACTGATTATTTTCACTTTATGCTACTTTATACTTCCATTCTAAGTACTTTTACTTATGATACTTTAGGAATATGTTGATGCCAATACTTTTGTACTTTTAACATCATATTATAGCAAGATTACATACACCTCAGATACGTTTCTGCTATTTATAAAGGTTCTCCTGATAATCATCACGGACTAATATATGTTACGAGAACAACCATTCTACAATATGCTTTCCTGATATGCATTATAGCTATAACGTGCTGTATTTGATATCTGGTGGGTAGACAAAGTATTGTTAGATTTAAAAAAGATCTGCAGAGCTTTCCCGCAGGACAAGCAGAATCCCATGCTGTCTGTCATATACGGTGGAGAAGAGCTGCAAGCAAAGCAAAATCCACAGCAATACAAAATAAAGAATACACTATAGGGCCCTTCACATCAAATTAAGGGTAGCATACTAAACATTGTTGTTAAACATTTTTAAACCAAAAATGACAAATCTGATTTGACCACATGGGTTCCACAAGGTTCAGTGCCGGCACAAGATATTTCTGAATTCCTTAGCAGGAAAGTGGTGTTCCAATAGTAAAAATATCTTATGAAATGTCTTGGATAAAGATAATGGTACAGTTCAAAACCATACAATTGCTTTATTAGTACTACCAGCAACTAAAAACAGCAAAATGATATGTGTATATGATTTTAAAAATAAGAAATGACGCTTATTTTAGCATTTGTAAGGATGCCACCACCTATTTTTAAGAAATCCAAAGAAAATGTAATTGTCATAATAGCAGTTAATGTATTTCCTTACCTTTATCCAATACAAATATGTGTGCAAACATTACGTTCTGATCACAGGCTGCTCCTGCATTAAACGGACAGTCAGCGCACACATTTGTGTAATGGCTCCTCCTAGTGGCAAGTACTGATGGTCACATGTTCTGTTCTATTCTCAACCCTGTCTCCAGAGTGGGGAGGGACTGGTCATGTCTTTATACAAATCTCCATGCAATCAAGAGCCACATTTTAAAACAGGTGACCCCAGACTGTACATCTGTAAAACACTGCTTTACCTGAGATTGTCTGAGAGGCGAAGGTAGCAGCGGACAACGTGCTTCAGCAGGCGTGCGGAGGGCTCCTTAGAGAGCTGGAGAACCATTTTGCCCTGCAAAGAAGAACATGAAATATTAATATTAGGGCTGTCAAACAATTCAAATTTTTAATCAGATTAATCACAGCTTAAAAATTAATTAATCATGATTAATCACCATTCGAACTATGTCCAAAATATGCCATTTCTTTATGTTTATTGTTGTGGGAATGGAAAGATAAATGAAAGAAGGCGGATATATCCATTTAACATACAGTATGTATGTTTATTATAACATTTTTCTGTGTGTCAAAATGAAAGACAGCCCACACACCTATCAATCATCAAACCGTGGGGTCTTAATTCATTACGTGTTGATTTCTATCAAAGAGGAA